ATAATGATGATAAAAATGATGAGGATTAGGATGAGGATTAGGACGAGAATGAGGATGAGGATGTGCATGAGGTTGAGGATGAGGACGAGGATGATAATGAGGATGAGGATGCGGTGAGGATGCGGATGAGATTGAGTATGATGATGATGAAGACAATGGTGATGATAATGATGATGAAGTTGATGATGATGATGATGATCACGATGATGATGATGGTAATAATGATTATATGGATGAGGATTAGCCAGAGGATGAAGATGAGAATGAGGATGAGAATGACGATTAGGTTGAGGATGAGGATAAGGATGAGGATTCGGATGTTGATGAGGGTGGGGATGATGACGGGGATAATGCTGAGGATGACGTTGAGGATGAGGATGAGGATAAGGATGAGGGTGATGATGCGGATGGGGATGAGGATGATGATGGTGATTTGGTGATGATAATAATGATGATCATGGTGAAGATGACGATGGTGATGATGATGTTGATGATGATGATGATTTTGGTTATGATGATGATGATAATGTTGATGATTGTAATTATGGTGGTGATGATGGTGAGGATGGTAATAATGAGGATGAGAATGAATATATGGATACGGATGAGGATGGGGATGAGGATGATAATGATGATGATGTGGATGGGGATATGTTTGAGGGTGAGGATTATTTTGAGTATGATGATGAGGATGAGGATGATGAGCATGATCATGAATGTGATGAGGATAATGAGGATGATGATGAGGATGTGGATGAGGATGAGGATGGTGATGATGTTGATGGTGATGATGATGATGATGATGATGAAGACGCTCATGACCATGATAATGATGATGATGTGGATGAGGTTCAGGATGAGAATGAGAATGAGAATGAGGATGAGAATGAATATAAGGATATGGATGAGGATGGGGATGAGGATGATAACGATGATGATGTGGATGGGGATATGTATGAGGATGAGGAATATTTTGAGTATGATGATGAGGATGATGAGGATGATGATGATCATGATGTATGTGATGAGGAAAATGAGGATGATGATGATGATGAGGATGAGGATCAGTATTAGGATGAGATTGAGGATGAGGATGAGTTTGACGATGAGGATGAGGATGAGGAAGATGACTTTGAATATGATGAGGATCGTGATGTTGATGATGTTGTTGATGATGTTGATGATGTTAATGATATTGGTGATGATGAGGATGAGGGTGTGTACGTGAATGTGGATGAGGATGATGATGAGGATTAGTTTGAGAATGAGGATGAGGATGAGCACGTGGATGTGGAAGAGGATGAGGATGAGGATAATGAATACGATGAGGATGATGATGATGATTATGAAGATGATGATGATGATGATGATGATGATGATGTTGATGATGTTGATGAAGATGATGATGATGATGACGTTGATAATGTCGATGAGGAAATGGATGAGGAAAAGAATGTGGATGAGAATTAGTATGAGGAGGATTTCGAGGATGATGATGAGGATGAGATTGAGGATGATGATGATGATGATGATGACGTTGATAACGTCGATCAGGTAATGGATGAGGAAATGAATGAGGATTAGAATTGGGATGAGGACTTCGAGGATGATAATGAGGATGATGGTAATGATGATGATGATGATAACGATGATGATAATGAGAATGAGGATGACGATCAGAATGAGTATGAGTTTGACGACGAGTATGAGGACGTCGATGAGGATGAGAATGGGGATGTTGATGATGATTTTGACGATGATGATGATGATGATAAACATGTTGATGAAAATGATTATGATGATGATGATGGTGATGATAATGAGGATGGTGATGATGATGATGAGGAGGATGATGAAGAGAATGAAAATGAGTATGAGGATGAGGATTAGGATGAGAATCGGGTGAGGATGAGGTCGAGGATGTGTATCAGGATGAGGATGTGGATGAGGTTCAGGATAAGGATGAGTTTGAGGATGTGGATGAGCACGATGATGAGGATGAGTTTGACGTTGAGGATGAGGATGAGTGTGAGGATTTTGATGAGGATGAGGATGATGATGACGGTGAGGAAGATGACGATGAATATGTTGATGATCATGATGTTGATGTTGTTGTTGTTTATGATCATGATGATAATGATATTGGTGATGTTGAGGATGAGGGTGTGAACGTGAATTTGGATGAGGATGATGACGAGGATTAGTTTGAGAATAAGGATGAGGAAGAGCATGTGGATGTGGATGAGGATGTGGATGAGGATGATGATTAGGATGAGGATGACGATGATGATTATGAAGATGATTTTGATGACGATGATGATGATGATGATGATGATGATGATCATCCTGATGATGGTGTTGCTGATAATGATGATGATGAGGATGAGGATGTGTATGAGGATGTGGACGAGGATGGGGATGAGAATGAGGATGAGGATGAGGATTAGGATGAGAACGAAGATGATGATGAGGATGAGGATGCGGTGAGGATGCGGATGAGAAGGTATATGAGGATGGTGATGATGATGTGGATGAGGATGATGATGATGAAAATGATGATGATGATGATGATGATGACGACGATGATGATGAGGACGAGGATGTGGATGTTGATGATGATGAGGATCATGATAATGATGATGATGATGATGATGATGATGATGATGATGTTAATCATGTTGATGAAGATGATGATGATGATGATGATGATTATGATGAGCATGATGATGGTGATAATGGTGATGATGATGATGTAGAAGATGTGAAAATGAAAGAGGATGAGGATGAGTGTCAGAATTAGGTTGAGGATGAGAATGAAGATGAGGACGAGAATGAGGTTAATGATGAGGATGATGACGATGATGATATTGATGATGATGTTGATGATGATTTTGATGATTATTTTGATCATGATCATGATGATGATCATGATGATGATGAGGTTGATATTGTCGATCAGGAAATGGATGAGGAAAATAATGAGGATTAGAATTAGGATGAGGAGGAGTTCCAGGATGATGATGAGGAGGAGATTGAGGATGATGATGATGTGGATGAGGATGACGATTTGGATGATGATGAGGATGACTATGAGGATATAGATAAGGACGGGGATGAGGATGCGATTGGGAATGAGGATGTGGATATTGGTGATGATGATGATGACGATGGAGATGATGGCGATGATGATGATGATGATGATGATGATTTTGCTGATGATGATAATGATGATTTTGATGATTGTAATTATGCCGATGATGATGATGATGATGATAATGATGAGTTCGGTAATGATTATGAGTACGAGGATGAGGATGGGGATGAGGATGACGATGATGATGAGGATGATGTTGAGGATGAGGATGATGATTAGGACGAGGATGAGGATGATGATGATCATGAGGATGAGGATGAAGATGAGGTTGAGTATGTGGACGACGATGACGATGAGGATGAGGATGAGGTTGAGGATGAGAATGAGGATGAGAATGAGGATGAGGAAGTATATATGGATAAGGATGAGGATGATGACGATGATGATTTGGATGGGGATGTGTATGAGGATGAGGATTTGTTTGAGAATGATGATGATGATGAGGATGAGGATCAGGATGAGGATGAGGATGAGGATGATGATGATGATCACGATGATGATGTTCATGGTGGTGATGATGATGATAAGGATGATGATGATGAGGATGAGGATTACGATGTGTATGAGTTTGAGTACAAGGATGAGATTGAGAATGAGGATGATGATATTCATGAGGATGAGAATGACGATGAGGATGAGTATTAGGATGAGAATGAGGATGTGAAAGAGGATGAGGATCAGGTTGAGGATGAGGATGAGAATGAGAATGAGGACGAGGATAACGCTAGCGGTGATGATGATATTGAAGATGATGTTGATTATGTTGATCTTGATGATGATGTTGATGATGATGTTGATGATCATTGTGATCATGGTGATAATGATGTTAATGATGATGATGATGATGATGATGATGATGATGATGATGATGATGATGATGATGATGATGATGATGATGAAGAGCATGAGAATATGGATGAGGATGAGGATGATGATGATGTTGATGATGATGATGATGATGATGATCATGATGATGATGATGATCATGATGATGATGATGATCATGATGATGATGATGATCATGATGATGATGATGATCATGATGATGATGATGATCATGATGATGATGATGATCATGATGATGATGATGATGACGTTGATAATATCGATCAGGAAATGGATGAGGAAAAGTTTGAGGATGAGAATTTGGATGAGAAGCAATTCGAGCCTGATGATGAGGATGAGGATGGGGATGAGGATGAGGATGATGATGATGTTGATGATGAGAATGAGGATGACGATGAGAATGAGTATGAGGTTGACGACGAGTATGAGGATGTGGATCAGGAGCAGGATGGGGAGGTTGATCATGATCTTGACGATGATGATGGTGATTATGATGATGAAAATCATGTTGACGAAAATGATGATGATGATGATGATGGTGAGGATGANGGATGAGGAAGTATATATGGATAAGGATGAGGATGATGACGATGGTGATTTGGATGGGGATGTGTATGAGGATGAGGATTTGTTTGAGAATGATGATGATGATGAGGATGAGGATCAGGATGAGGATGAGGATGAGGATGAGGAAGAGGATGAGGATGAGGATGAGGATGAGGAAGAGGATGAGGATGAGGATGAGGATGAGGAAGAGGATGAGGATGAGGATGAGGATGAGGAAGAGGATGAGGATGAGGATGAGGATGAGGAAGAGGATGAGGATGAGGATGAGGATGAGGAAGAGGATGAGGATGAGGATGAGGATGAGGAAGAGGATGAGGATGAGGATGAGGATGAGGAAGAGGATGAGGATGAGGATGAGGATGAGGAAGAGGATGAGGATGAGGATGAGGATGAGGAAGAGGATGAGGATGAGGATGAGGATGAGGAAGAGGAT